TATTAGAGTATAGTAGGTAGAATTGATGACCACCTGGAAACGAATCCCAGCCCCATTAGATCCATAGTATTCACCAGATAACTCCTCCTGTGTGGTAGTTGTTACCATTAGGCCATCCTGTGTTGGTGCAGTGGTTGGCTGGTCAGAAGGTAAACTTAAAGCAACAGAAACAGAAATAGCTACAATAGCACATACAGCTACAACCAGTAGAGCTATTAGAAACAGGATGAGTGGTTTAGGACAACCATTTTCTTCAGTCTTCTTCTTCATCTCTGACTTTATGACTAAGCAATGACAAGACAGCTATGCTTTGACAACGCATACCAGAAAGATTGATAGTGTAGTCCTGCCCTTTACTCATAATGGGTAGGGAATTGTGTTTCCTGAATACTGAGAACATAAATTCCTTGTGAAGATGAAATGATGACTTGTTTACTGTGACTCCAACCAAACACAGAGGACAGGTGTTCTAATAAAACCAACAGCATACTTGGGATTCGTTGACAATAGTGTATCCTTGCCTACACTACTAATCACCTGAGTAATAAAACTAGAGAAAAGGAGTGTGTGCTTCATAGTATGTACTATAGAGACTTCGTACCATATAATCGAATAGCACTCTTTGTAGATTTCATATTAGCTAAGTCACTTTTTGTTTATTATAAAGGCTTTTCAAACAATAAAAATGTGACAAAACATTTCTAAAGACATGGGAAAACATTTTAACTGACAAAGAAAAGATATTGACAAAAACTAAAAAAAAGAACAAAAATATGTACACACCTAAATTCCAGAAGATACACACAATTAGCTATAGCTATATACTCTAAAAATAATCAGCAATAGTAGTTACACACATCTATATTACTCTCGTTTACATTATCAGCAATCATAGGCATCATTACAACTTGTGAAAGCATCAACTGCAGCTCCAAAACAAGCAAATGAAACAAAACCTTCTTTAGCACAACAGGCATCATGAGTCTCACAGTAGCGGTGAACACAGCAATCACCACAGACAAATGACCAGCATGAGCAACCCCTTCCACACATGCCAAAACAATCATTGTCACCACGAGAGTAAGGACATCTACTAGCAGGACAGTATCCACCCCCAGCAGCACATCTGCCATACTGCTTGGTTGTTGGGCTCCTTTTTCTTGCTGTACTAGCTTCACCCAACAATTGACCTCTCATTTTCTCCAGCTGCAGTCCCAGGAGGTAAAACTGCCTTACAGGAGGGTAGCTTGAATTAACATTGTTCATTTCAACAAGAGCCTTTGCTGCTTCAATGATAAGGAGTGCTTCTTCACTTAAAGCAAGGAGTTGAAGAGTAAGCTGACGTGTTATATTCACATTAATGCTGTCAAGCTCTTGGAGAAGATCGTCAGTCATGTGTGGGTCACTGCTCATCATCATAGTCTCCATGACACCAGTAGCATTAGGAGGTACAATGTAGTCATTCATTTGTGAGGTTGAGTTCCTCATAATCATGAACATGGTACTGTTGATACTTGTCATTGTCATATTGGTGGACTGGGGGTGCATGACATTAATGAGATCCATGCCAGTACTGATACTGGTAACTATTAGAGTATAGTAGGTAGAATTGATGACCACCTGGAAACGAATCCCAGCCCCATTGGATCCATAGTATTCACCAGATAACTCCTCCTGTGTGGTAGTTGTTACCATTAGACCATCACTTGTTGGTTCAGTGGTTGGCTGGTCAGAAGGTAAACTTAAAGCAACAGCAACAGAAATAGCTATAATAGCACAAACAACCACTGCCAGTAGCACTATTAGAAACAGGATGAGTGTTTTTCGACAAGCATTTTCTTCCCGCTTTTCTCGCTTCTCTTTGATTTCATCAGTGTCCTCTTGAAGAAGAAATGGTGTCTTCTTTGACTCCATGACCGACTGAGCACTGACAAGATAGCTGTGTTTTGATAACACATACACGGATACCCCTTACCTATTTAGGATGAACAATAGTGCTCACTACTACTTGTAAGGCCTTTTCACAATGGCAAAGTTTTTAAAGCGCTGCTTTGTTGATACAGGTGAATCATCTGAGTTTGACCCAAGAAAAACACGAATAACTTTTTATAGGAATGTGGGATAAGGATTAAACCTTCACAGATTCTTATTCGCCCAATGCCATCACAGGATCTCA